ACAACCTACAAGGATCACCTAGTAGAGCAAGGGCAGTGAGGAAGATCCTAGTGGTATGTGGAATGTACTCTGTATCAGTGTCCTCATCAAACATACATCAGGAGGGAGCGACGGATTTGGACTTGCCCTTTTGTACGTAGGTTGGAGCCTGTTTCAGAGCCATGGTACTTGTGGAAGACTTGTTAGTACGAAAACAAGACAATAAGACACATGGAATAATTTTAGAACAAGATTCGGACTCAGACAACAACTCAAAAAAAATTTAGGCAGTAGTTGAACCGGTGACCAATGGTGGGTACCTACGGTGCGTCGATGGACTGATGGTCCATGGATCCCCTCCGTAGGTCGGGAGGTCCCATATTTAGATTCAAGATGGGGAACCATGGATGTGCAGAACGTTCCATCGATCAAACAATGGACCGTAGTCCGCATTGTGGTTCCAGAATTATACCAATTTTTTGTGGTACTGATCAACGGTCCTCGACCTACAGTAAGTAGGTGGACTTAAGTCTCGTGGGTGGGGCTAGTGGATCAATTCTGTGCGAGGGATCACCCTTCATCTTTTGTACAAACCATAATTTTAATAAACAATTCATCATACTAGGTCTAATCATGCATTTCAACATATATTTTGGTATTTCATCATCCTTAGGGTTGTGATCATTCAATTTTATTCACATTCACACAAAACCATTCAACAAACCTAAGTCAAAATATCCAATTAGACCTATTAACTGATTTAGTTGGTTTAAATTACAAAACACTCACATACAGTCATTCCAAAGGTATTTCTAACTACAAATTCAACATTCAAACACTTGATTTAATAACCCAAGGCCAAGTTCATTGCGGTGATTTCACTATGAAACTATGAAATGTTCAAACTTTGGGAGAAATCAACTTACCTTACAAGTAATCAACAATGGTGAGTGTGTTATCGACTGTAAAAACTACTAGAATAACGTGGACACCAAACCCAGACCGTGAAATCGCTTGGGGAAGAAGATGAGAGTGTGGAAATGATTCGGGAGAGAGAACTGATGGGGGAATTTAGTGGGATCAATTAGGGAGTGAGTGTGGTGTTATTAATGGGATGAAAATGGGTAATTGCAAGGTTTAAAATGGTTGGTATGAAAATATAGAAGTGGGGAAGGTATTAAAAATGATGGGTTATATTAAATTGGGGTCTAGGTCGAGTCGGACAAAACCCTAGTCTGGACCCACGAGACCCCGTCAACGGTTCGTGGGTCAACCTACGGTCTGTCGATCAGGTTTGTAGGTTACTTTGACACTTAGAAAAATTAGAAAACTTACCTGGGATCGATGGATGCCATCCACTGTGTGTGGATTGACCAACGGACCATCGATGGGGTCTATAGACCACTGTACAACAGGTTTCTATAGATTTTGCCTTTTCGTCCCTCCACACGTAGCAACCATTAGGACTTTCTTTTGACATTTTATGGACACTTTTTGGACACGGTCCCTATTCTCTATCTAGCCAACACTAAAACATAAAAATAAACACCTATCTAAAGAGCTATAAATTTCATAAAGAAAGAACAAAACTCCTAAATTGAAAATAACATCCTATAGTTGGCTAGATTGTACATCTTGGGTTGCCTCCCAAGCAACACTTGATTTAACGTCACGGAATGACGCAAACACCTTGATTACTCAGACTTCATCAAGATAATAGGCCTCAATCACTTCGTCCACACTCTCAAACTTTCCCAAGTAGACTTTGATCATTTGTCCGTTCACTTTGAACCTCGTTCCTTCCTTGTTCTCGAGCTCGACCGCCCCATGTGGAAATACTTGAGTGACGTTGAATGGCCCAGTCCACTTGGACTTGATCTTTCCAGGAAACAAGCCCAACCTTGAGTTGAATAAGAGCACCAGATCTCGCACAACAAATTCACGCCTTTTAATCTTTTCATCAAGGTACTTCTTCATCTTTTCCTTGTACAAGGCTGAACTTTCAAATGCTTTTATGTGAAACACATCAAGTTCATTCATGTCATTCAGTCTTTGACTCGATGCAAGTATCCCAATCCAAATGACATGACTTCCCATATACAAGTTGGTAGGGGCACATACCTATAAGAGTCTCAAATGCAGTGCGATAGGACCATAGAGCATCATCAATCCTTATTGACCAATCAGTTATGTTGGTGTTCACAGTCTTTGCAAGGATTTGCTTTATCTCTCTATTTGACACCATAACTTTCCCACTAGACTGTGGATGATAAGGAGTGGCTACATTGTGACGAACCCCATATTTCTCTACCAACGCCTTGAACAACTTGTTACAAAAGTAAGAACCTCAATCGCTAATAATCGCTCTAGGTGTACCAAATTTGGAGAAGATACTCTTTTTCAAAAATGTGGTGACACTTTTTTCCTCATTATTTGAAAGCACAATTGCTTCCATCCATTTCGACACATAATCAACCGCAACAAGAATATACTTCATCCCATGAGAAATTACTAATGGAATCACGAAGTCAAGGCCCCAGACATCAAATAACTCAATCACCAATATCGGATTAATAGGTAGCTCTTGCTTCTTTGAAATTCCTCCTTCTCTTTGGCAACGGTCACAAGACTTAACGAAATCATGAGCATCTTGGTGGATGGTAGGCCAGTAATACCAACACTGCAAAATTTTGTGAGCAGTTCGGATACCACTATGGTGCCCACCAACAGTTGATGAATGACACACCTCTAGTATACTCATCATCTCAACCTCAGGCACACAAAGATGAATAATCCCATCTGCACAAATACGGAACAAGTAAGGGTCATCCCAAAAGAATTTCTTCACCTCAGACATGAATTGTTTCTTTGGTGGAATGGTAAATCCAACCTAACTAAATCACTTGCCAAGTAATTAGCAAAATCTACGAACCAAGGGATAAGATCATAAGAAGCGGCCAATACCTGTTCATCAAGGAATGCATCATTAATCTCAATTCCATCCTCAAACTTGATTATAGCTTCCTCCTCTAATCTGGGAAAATAATTGACAACTTGATTTTCTGTCTCCTTTCTATCTTTCACCTCAAACTTGAACTCTTGCAACAACATCACCTGTCTAATCAACCTCGGTTTTGCATCCTTTTTAGCCATCAAATACCTCAATGCAGAATGGCCAGTATGCACTATGACCTTAGAACCACGAAAGTAGGACCTTAATTTTTCGAATGCGAAAACCACAACAAGGTATTCTTGTTCAATCAGACTATAGTTCTTTTGGGCCACATTTAGAGCTTTGCTGGCATAGTAAATCGGATGAAAAAAAATTTCTAGCCTCTGGCCCAATACCACCCCAAGCGCCACCCTGCTCGCATCACACATAACTTCAAATAGTTGTTCCCAATCCGGTGAAATAATAATAGGTGGGGAAGTTAACTTGGCCTTCAACTCTCCAAATGCTCTCAGACAAGCATCATCAAAATCGAACTTACACTCCATTCCGAGCAGTTTGCACAACGGGTGTGCAATTCTTGAGAAATCTTTTATGAACCTCTGGTAGAAACCTACATGCCCAAAAAAAACACTTAACACCCTTTATAGAGATAGGTGGTGGAAGTTTTTGTATTACCTCAACTTTGGCTCTATAAACCCCTATACCTTTCTCAAAAATCTGATGACCCATAACAATCCCCTCTTTCACCATTAAGTGGCACTTATCCCAATGGAGCACAAGATTACATCCTTCACATCGTTTCAGTACCTGAGCCAGATGCATCAAACAATCATCAAACACGTCACCTACCATAGAAATATCATCCATAAACACCTCAATAGTGTCCTCCACAATATATGAAAATATCGACATCATACAATGCTGGTAGGTCACTAGAGCACTACATAACCCAAACGGCATCCTTTTAAAGGCGAAAGTCCCATAAGGACAAGTGAAGGTGGTCTTCTCTTAGTCTTCCGGAGCTGTAGAGATTTGATTGTAGCTTGAATACCCATCTAGAAAACAATATCAACCCTTACATGCGAGACAATCCAACATCTAATCCATTAACAGCTTAGGGAAGTGGTCTGTCTCTGTCCATGCATTTAGCTTGTGGTAGTCCATAGACACTCTCCAAACAGTGACCGTCCTCATTGGAACAAGCTCATTTTTAGCATTTGGAACCACGTTGATTCCCCCTTTCTTGGGCACACATTGAACATGACAAAACCCAACTACTATCAGCAACGGGATATATAACTCCAACATCGAACGACTTAATGATCTTCTTTTTCACAACCTCTTGCATAAGGGGATTCAATCTTCTTTGGTGATCTATACTTGGCTTACTGTTCGGCATGAGTTGGATTTTGTGAGAACAAATACCCGGTGTAATACAAATAATATCCACAATAGTCCATCCAATATCCCTCTTGAACCTTTTCAAAATAGAAACCAAAGGCTCAACTTGCCCCTCGCTCAAATACACAGCAATGATTACCAGTAAAATGCTATGTCTCCCCAAGAATACGTACCTCAAATGTGAAGGTAGAGCCTTAAGTTCCAATTTTGGAGGCTCTGCCACAGACAATTTTGCAGGTGGGGATTCGCGATTCTTCATATCTAACTCCAATCTTTTAGATTTGGAACAGAATTCGAACCTATGAACTGCGGCGAAAAATTCATCGTAGCCTTCAATACCATCACCATCAAATTTCATCATAACCGCTGCCAGTGCATCAACACCCAACCTCTCTTCAATAGACACTTCAGAACCCCACTCCATAGTATGATTCACCACCAATACCGACTTAAGATCGTTTTCATGCTTCATAGACCTACATATATTACAAATTACCTCCTCATTATTCAGTCGAAACTTCATCTGTCCTCTTTCCATATCGACTAACGCACGCCCAGTAGCAAGGAATGGTCTCCCTAAGATGATGGGAACCTCAAAATCAACCTCACAATCAAGTATCACAAAATCCACCAAAAAAATGAATGACTCCACTTTCACAAGGACATCTTAGAGAACACCAATGGGCTTCTTCACAGTTCTACCGGCCATGAGTAGATGCATCGCAGAAAGTTTTGGAGCTCCTAAACCCAACTTTTTATAAATGGACAACGACATCAAGTTAATGCTGGCACCCAAATCACACAAAGCTTTCGCAAAGTGTAACATCCCAATGGTACAAGGAATAATGAAAGCTCCAGGATCCTTTTTCTTCTGCACAAGTGACCTTGTAGCAATAGCACTATAGTGTTGCAACCTCTCATCATTCTTGATATTGACATCCCTGTTTTTGGTCACCAAGTCCTTCATGAATTTACCATACCCAGACATTTGTTCTAATTCTTCTATCAACGGAACATTGATGGACAATTGCGTCAACATACTGATGAACCTACGGTATCTTCCTTCTTCAATTTTCTTTACCAACCTTTGTGCGAATGGAGGTGGAGGTCTAGGCATAGGAACAACTTTTTGGGTTACCTCAGCTTCCTTTTCAGGACTATCTTTTGGGACTTCAATAACCTAAATCTCATCTTCATCCTTCTCTATCATCTTTTCAACCTCAGACGGTATGGGGGTGTCAATGGTCTGATTTCCTCCACGAGTAGTGACTGTCATACAATGCCCATCATTTTTCGGATTCTGGATGGTGATGCTAGGAAGTGTGCTAGGCAGACGTGGGTTTGCATTGGTAGACAAGTGAGTAAAATACTGCTCAAGTTGCTTAATCGACATTGCATGTGCATCAACTTTTTGACCGATTCCGCACAAGTCATTTCGCATCTCTTTCACATTATCATCAGTAGCATCAAACCTCTTCATCATCTTTTACATCATCTCCTCAATGTGTAACATACTATTACCACCATTTCTATTACCAAGAGGGACATAGGGACCAACCTTATCATTCCTATTGCCATAATTGTTTCGGTTGTAATTGTTGTCACGATTGTAGTTTCCATCCCGGACATAGTTACCCTCACGGTTGTAGTTACTCTCACGGTTGTAGCTTCCATAGTTCTGACCTTGGTTTCCTTGACCTTGCGCTAATTATCCAAGTTAGAACCTTGGGCGTTGGTTTAGAAACCCTCCGTCAGATCTTTCCCCAAATTTGCATCCTCCTCATAGTAGCACTCCTCAACTAGGGTGGTGGACACCTAGTCAGATAATTCCCTGCATTTACCTTTTCCGTCATTCCCACTCATATGTTTTAGTACCAAACCCAATTTTGTTCTCATATGTGCCATCACTTCCCGAATGCCATCATTGGCTTGGTTAGGTGCGTTGTGGACAACAAGCGTGGTCCTACTAGTGTTTGCCTTTCTAGTGCTCCAGGCTTTGTTGTTTTGGGAAATCCTCTCAAGCTTCTCAACGATCTCCTCAAAAGAGTACTCACAATAAGATCCTCCAGAAATTGTATCTAACACAGCTCTCCCATTATCATCATCTCCTCTATAGAGATACTCCTTCAAAGACTCATCATCGATGCGGTGGTTTGGAATACTTCTGATGAAACCAGTGAACCTATCCCGAGAACTGCTTATTGACACTCATGGTAGTGCCGTGAAGTTGTTCAACTTATCTTTATGATTTAACTTCTTGGACACCGGAAAGTATCTTGATGTGAACACCTTGTGTATTTGGTCCCACGAATAGATCGAAATGTATGGTATCTCTGAAAACCACACAACAACATATCCAGTCAGCGATAGTGGAAATATCCTCAGACTAATGACATCCATATCTAACTCCAGTCATCCTACACAACTTTTGTGAACACTGGACAATTTTGCCATGCGAGCGTAAGGATCTTTCGAAGCCAACTCAGCAAAAAACCCTCTCGTTGTAAGCATCTGTATCCAACTGTAGGTTACCACAAATGTATGATGCGGAGGTAGTGGAGGAAGAAAAATAGGCCCATCTGATGTAGTCGCATCATAATCAGCCATGTAATGCTCATGAAACCTTGGTGTTGGCGATTTTGAACCCTCTCTGTATTACCAATTAAATTACCACCATGAACTTGAGCGGGGACATTAACAACACCTGGAGGCTGCAACTCTACACCAACTTCTAAAGCCTCTCTGTTTGGATTGTTGTGAAATCCTTGATTATTCATTTTTCTTAAAGTTTTACTTAACTCTGGATCGTAGGGTGTCAATGGTTCACCTCGACTCCGTGTACTTGGCGTACACTAGAGTTGAAACCTGTAGAAAATAAAAACTAAAACAAAAACGTAAAATCGGGAAATACTTGACTACAGTTAAAAAAATGTAGTTAGTTTAATCTAAAAGTCGTACTCCCCAGCAGCGGCACCAAAATTTGATACGCTGAAATTACACCTCCCTAAAGATGTATAAGTGATAGTTATCAGGTAAAGAACGCAACTTGTAGGTTGGGGTCGATCGTATGAGGAATATGGTTTAGACTTAAACTTAACTCACTATTATTTCCGATGAAAGTAAACAAGGGGGATTTTGTAACTAAGTAATAGTTTAGAATGCTTAAGTAACAAGTAAACAGAATTCACACTTTGGTTTATCAATAAGAGAAAGAAACTAAGGTATGTGTGTTCCCCATAAGCTCTTAACACGGTAATCCTAATAATAGTAATCCTTTCTTAGTGTTTTACATGCAAAGTTGGTAAGTTAAATACCCCTAAGTGATTGGTTCTCCAAATAGGGAATTTCACTACGTCCCTTGGTCCTGCTACGATTGTATGCTTTACTAACCGTTACTTTTACCCAGATTAGTCATCACATCAATGTATGGCTTAGTTTTCACCCTCACTCCAATTAACATTAGACTAGTAGATAGCATCCACTAAATCTCTATTGTTAATTCTTTTCTCATTCACTACCTTCTTGGTCCGGCAAGTAGAAACGAGGTGAGTTTTAACGTTTGCAACCGTTAAAAAGACTTCTAAGCAAAAAAATTAGCAATACATGCATAAACACTATTCAAGAATTACTTAATTATTATTCATACTTTGTTAATTGCTCATGGTTCCCACAACCCTAGTTGTTGATTTAGCTACTCATGCTTGAGAGTTCACAATTCATAATTAGATGAGAATAATTCATGAAATTACAAGTAGAATTGATGAAACCTGAAATTTTCAATTGAATTTCTAAGCGAAAATCTTATCAAACAAAATTTGGAAAGTTAATTTGTAAGAGTTTGCAAATTAATTCCCAAAGAACAAAACTGAAACCTTACGCTAATGTCTAACCCCAAAAATGAGGAATACAACTACTATTTGTAGAAAACAAATCCTAAATAAAACAGGAAACAAAATAAGAAAATAAACTACTGGAACACAACTTCTGTCGACGGTATGACCTACAGACCATGGGTTGACCTACGGCCAGTAGGTCACCTTTCGTGGTTTAAAACTTAGAAACATTCATCAGGTACTGAAACCTTCAACTCCCACATCATCAATGACGGATGTGCTGGATGGACCGTAGGTCAACCTACGGTTCATCGTCTGCTCTGTGGTTCCATACTTGGTCATACTTCCTTGATGTTTCACCTACGATGTATCACATACGGTCTATGGACTGGACTACGGTCCGTCCTAGTACTTTGCGAACTGAGTACTGGAACTTCAACTCCCACAATAGGACCTACGACTACCCATCCACGGCCCGTCGTTGGACCTGCGACTTGTGGGTCACTCCGTTGGTGGTTACTTCTAAACTTTTTCAGCTCTCTTCTCCATTAACCGCATCCAAGCCTAATTCCTGCAAACATTATACACAAAACATTATTTCTAATACAAAATATCCCTAGACAAACACAAACTCTAAGTGAAAAGCATCAAAAATACCCTAAACTCGCGATATATCAGGGAGACACCTAATTCCGTGTTGATAACTCACATGGTCTTATATGTCGGTTAAAGGTAAATCTCCCACAATAATGAACTAATGTTTCTTCAAAAAGTATGTCACATGTGTTTTAAGATGATCTCTATTGGTATTGACCATGTTTTTTGACTTATGTCTTCTAATCCTTTTTATATCATGTTTTATCTTGGTCATTACATACCATGAAAGATATCCCTTTTAAGTATGTTTTCAAATGTTTTATGCATGGATATCATACTTGGTACATATTTGTACTAATACATACTCTTGCTTACATTTCCCAAAATGTAGGGTCTGACCTTACAGATTCACACTTTCGTGGATACGATCACATATAGAAGATTGAAGATTTGTGGGTCCTCATCACCCGAGGACCGTGCTTGATTTCCTTTTTGTATTTACTTTTAGTTTTTGAATATGATGTATGGGATTCGCCCTGATCAATCTTATTCACTAGATGTATTTGAGACGATGTTTAGACTTCTAGTTTTCTCTAAAAAAAAAATTCTATGATTGGAACTATCATAGAATTATCTTGTATGATGAATGCTAGTTGTTTGTATCAGGCTTCTCGGAGTCTTATACGCCATGTTACACCTAGGGGCCATCTTGGGTCGTGACAGTGATAGAGAACACTCATGTTGTAGTCCTTTAGTAACTCAAGCCACCTTCTTTGGCAATGTTTTAGATCCTTCTTTTTAAACACTTGTTGCAAACTTTTGTGGTCGGTAAAAACATCGACATGAACTGGTGTAATGCCTCTAAATCTTTAAACCAAACGCAACCGCCGCTAGTTATAAGTCATGGGTAGGATAGTTATTTTTGTGCACTTTAAGTTGCCTTGAGGCATAGGAAATAACTTTCCCATTTTGCATATGGATACATCCTAACCCAATTCTTGAAGCATCGCAATAAACAACAAATTCATCGGTTCCTTCCGGTAAAGTAAACACATGAGCAGAAGTAAGTCTATCTTTCAATTTCTTAAAAATATTTTCGCATGCTTTCGACCATAAGAATTTGACTTTAGTTTGAATCAATTCCATCAATGGAGAAGCAATCGAGGAAAATCCCTTTTGAGTATGGGATTTGAACTCATTTAGGGCTTAAAATTAAGGGATTTAGAGTCCTCAATACCGATTTTATGCTCATAATTGATTATAATATGAAGAAATGAAGGAAAAAGAGTAAGGCAAGGACATTACAAGGCAAGTATGAGCAAAATATCTAAAAAGGTTGATGGAAAGCAAAGCTGGTACTCGCCAAAGACACTCGGCGAGTTACCGAGTAGATCTTCAACTCGCCTAAAGATCCAGCATGCTGCCCATGGACAAAACTAATTTGGAGATCAAACAAGTGATTCGGTAACACATTGAAGAGATTGGCGATGCGTTTAGCTCGCCAAATGTTACAAAAAGAAGTGGTAAAAATCCACTCCAAGAAGGCGAAAAGAAGAGCACTTGGCGCATCGCCGACTAGTTCGGCAAAGCCCAACTCACTTTGCCGAAAATTATAGAATGAATTGATAAAACAACACACCAAAAAGGGGAGAAGAGGAGCACTCGGTACATCGGCGAGATGTTCAGC